TCTCAGTTATTTATAGTTTCAACATTTAATAATTATTTTTACATAATATAGTGAAACACTGAAACAAGTACTCGATTCAATTCGAGTATTTGRTTCAAGTCGAGTACTCGTATTTACGAGTACAAAATTTTTTTTAGTCGAGTCGAGTTCAAGTACTCGGACTCGACTCGACTAAAGAAAATTTTTCCAAAGTCGAGTACTCGAACAACACTAGAAATTATCATAACTACATGCTTTACAAACCAACGGGCAAATAACAATATTTATATATTTATTTTGGTAAATGCTCATATTTTATTATTTCCTGGAACTGTTAGATTATAGAAATGTACAATTATAATTWCCCGTATAAAGTACAACCAAATTTTAAGAATCAACTATTATTTAATAATAAAATATTTTATTATAAAATATATTAATCCAACTTTGAGTGACCTACCTATACTACATAAATACATAATAATATTATTATTCGTATATCTTTAGGTTAGGACGTTGGGTATGAGTCATTGGTGAAATGTCTCGTATGTAGCAGACAATATAATATATATAGATACGATATCGATTAGATATTAATTATATATTACATCGTGTGCGTGTCCGAGTCCTGAGGYCACGTAAAATCAATTTACTACTTTGTTTCACGGTTGTACTAATGATTTTTAAGGATAAAAAGTAAATTCCGTTAAATCGATGATTATAAATTATACAAGCTACAGATGCAGTGCTCACCAACATTCTACATGATGGTATATAAACATTAAGCACTATATGTTATAAGCACTAGGTAAATGTAGGTATTATACCACATACGTTAATTATTATTCATAATRTTTTAAATTAAATGACTAAAAACTATATATATTACATTATAAACCTCCCACTTTCTACAAATAAACACCTCTGYAGAATTTTATTAAAGATCCACTTAGAAGAACTATAATTTTTAAACATATATAGGTACCCATTTTAATTGTCTTTTTTATTTGTTGGTTATATAATTTTACATAGAGAGGTAATATTTAAGTTAATTTTATGCAAAAAAAGTTTACTTATTTGTTGATCAAAATCCAATTCCGGCAAATAATGGTCGACATAATATTCTGCTGGGGGCAGAAGCTCCAAGTCAACCCAGTTGGTAATCGGTGTTACTATTCCAATAACATATTCTACACTACCATTGTAAATCTGAAAATTTTATTTCACAAACATCAAAATTTAATTATATAGCCATCCCACATATTTTTTTTTTTTTGTGAAAATAAAATAAATATTACAGTCATATTTTGTTATAAACATAACACATTACTGTATACATAATTATTATTGTTTTTATAATCTGATAATTATAATTATTTTTAATCATGGATAACTGATAAGTGTTTGTTTCTTATTTTAATTTTTAACTCAACTTTTAATTAACTTAAGTAAGTATAAGTACCTATATAACTAGTAAATCATCAGCTGAAAACATTTACTTTTTATTTAATTGTTATTTTAAACAAAACCAATTGTACCTATTTAAATTTACTTATTAAACACGCATTTAAAAAATAAATTTAAGTAAATGTATTTTTACTAATTACTAWAAATCACGCGTTCACGTTTTTTTTTACTAAGTTAAATTATACATGTGATACTACGTTAATGTACGGATGCACGCCATTCACATTAATAAGCTCTATAATATTATTTTATACTTACGTAAAATACACGAGACTTTGAATAGGTCGTACCTATTTATGTGCTTTAAAAATTAAAACTCTATTTATTTTGATAAGTAATAAAAACGAGGTGTTAATGTATAAAAAGTGAACGCATATTAATAAAAAATAAAAACTGCAATTCGTGGTAAAATTTAAACAAAAACGTAAATACGAAACGCGCATACTTTAGGTGATTCGAATAATATGTTTAATTGAATTAGGTAAATACTTCTTGCGGTGTTTTAGTCAACACAGGTAATGAGAGTTCTGTCAGATCCAACGAAGAGCACAACAACCGATCGATGGCCATCAGTTGGTCTTTGACGTACGGAAATTTGACCACATGATCCACGCCGATAGTGGCTTTGTTCAGACTCCATTCGACGACGGTGGACGATTCCTATACGATGTGGTAGCGGAAAAAAACATAAAATAATACCTTAGTGATCAAATTATGGTTTAAGTATATAATATAGTTTAATAAGAGTATAAGAACCYATATGCCCCTATGAGTAATGGTTAATCGAGTAGGGGCGAGATGAGGGGGRTAGTTCCCTCCAAATTGTTTTCAAATATTTAAGATCTGATAACCATAAATTATATTTTGACTAATCAAATAGTGTCGTATGCCCATACCCCTCCTTGAAGTATTTATAAAGTTATTAATATATTGAAATAGCTGCACTTAATAACTTTTCACGGAAATACTATAGGGATGCAAAATCGTGTGCTTTAGCAACCTCTCTCTCTAATAACGGATATYATCATTCGCTCTCGAGAACAACAGTTTTGTTTAGTAAATAGCCCGCAGATAGGTGTAAAAACTCAAAAGTATTTTACTTCATATTTCTCAAGACCACATTAAATTATAATTTTCTTCCAAAACTCCAATTTATGTCACAAGTCATACTATCTATTCTGATCTTCATCATGTATAACGAATGGGAAAACTACTAGAACTGTAGAAGACTGCACGTGTCRTGCACACAGCCACCCGGTGGCACTGATGTCCTAAAAATCTAGAAGGGTAAAAAATATTTCAAGAGGCCCAATATCTTAATATACCGCAACAYACAACTACCACTCACAAAAATACCTTTGGCTAGATGACGAATGAACGCTTGTACGACTAATAAAGTATTATGATATCGTGTAATCATAATTGTGGTAGACTCACCTTGAGACCGGAAATGAGACTCGTAAAGTATTTGCAACCCAAGCCAATCACGGGTATTTCGGTTTTGACGCGGTTCAGACACATCAAAYCGGCCACCAGCGAGTTTAACGGTACAGAGTCGCCGTTGCTTAATGTTGCAGTGACGGACATTTTCAATTATTATTTTTTAAATTATAATTCGATTAAAAAAATAATACAGGTAAATATTTTTTGTTGTAAACAGTACGATAATATTAAGTCCAAGTGGCAAGTGGTGACTTGATTCATGAAAGTTAGAGCGAATTGAAAAAATCGTTAATATGTGATTTATATCTGCAGACAACGAATGTCGGAAAATATTAGCAGCGAACTGTTAATTTATCGTATTAACTGTTAAATAGATGCGCTAAAAATATATAGTTTGTTTATCTGGTGGTATAAATTGAGGTAATAAGAGGTATATCTATTTTAATATTATTTTGTACTGAGATATGGCAGTCTGAACGATAATACGATAAGAAATTTAAATKATTATTATTATTTTAAGATATTATAAATAAACGATTAAAACCCAACAGATAGAATTTCGATGATTTAATGAATAATTATATTTAATTATTGGTTTATAGTCTTTAATAACCATGATAAATTCTAAAAGGTGTCTATGATATTTTGGGTAGGCATAAACGACCGGATAAACACGATATTTAAATACGAACAACGGATTTCCGTTGGGTAAATATTATTATTGTTACAATACAAATCATAATCTTCATTAAATTTTTGAAAATATAGAAGTATGATATTTTTGAATTTTTMATAGGCAAACCTACTTTTCACGCCCCTAAATATAAATATGTATCACAAATAGCTAGTCCAGTCACATGATAGGGTATACTTAGGGTAGGGATCAAAACTCTCTAAAACACTTTTACACAATATTGTTTCTACATTAGTACCATTAATTAAATTTGATTTTTATACTGTAAGCAGCGCATATACTTGTATTTACGTTAGAAAGTAGAATATAGTAAATTAGGCCAATTAGGGAAATCTTTGTTTCAGTAAGAGTGTTATTTTAAAAGATTTTTTCTCGATTCCCGTTTGACGCTCAACCATTAGCCCTCCCCCTTCCWCTCAATAGATTTTCTATTTTAGCCCCGAGTAGTTTGGCCACCCGAGTCGGTCGTCGTAGGGAGCCACTATAATATAATTAATAATTATGTTATACTTAAATAGATAAGGTTACAATATAYTCATTAGGCTGTTGTTTACTTGAACATGATTACAAAACGACTTAATATAGGCATATAGCTTATTCTACTATCATGAAGATAATTTTATGATATGCATAATGATAATAATTAATAATATACAATTTAGTACTAATGAAGTAATGAGGTAGTTGTAGTTATATAAAATAACGATATTGATATAAAAATGTATWTAAATATATATATATAATATGTATGTTTATAWATATTAATATATTATTCGACAATGGTTAAAATATGTAAAAAAAAAATCAYACACGTTACGCGTGTCAGTTAAGATCACGCACATACGTATATACGTCCGTGGTTAAGATTAATAAGTTGTGTATAAACGTAAAATCGCTTTGAAAGGCTCTAACTTCTATAATAATAGTTTCCAGTAAGAAATATTTGCACAATCGTTTTAATCATAAAAACGAGATGTTAAAAAAGTTGAAAATCGAGAGGGGGTTGGTAAAATGCATTTATTCCATTCTTAATTATATCATTTTAAAAATTAAATTGAACAATTTAGATATTTTTAAGTAAATGGTGTCTGTGTTAGGCCAGAGTGCTTAGGATGTTGTGTGGATGTTGAGTTAATTTGAACTGTTCAACCAAATAGTGTTCCAGTGTTTGGTTCAACTGCAATGCCCTGGTGGCATACTGGCATTATGTAAGCCGTAAGGATATGGACATGGTTGACTGATAGTTCGGTATTGTCACAGACTCACGGTTGACTATTTGAAAAACCGCGGTCGGTATTTTAATTGTCGACCCAGGGTGACCATAACCAATGCATCGACTGCTGTCCGCGTTGAACCCTGCCTGGGTTAATGGCAGCCTGCCAGCACAGCTGCTACATTCTAAACGGATGGTGATTGGAGGAACTGTAGTCTATAACGGTTATTTCTTATCGTTCGTAGTTCCGAATTCGTTTGTTTAAGTTACACAAAGTACACACTGCGTCTAAYACTGAGYGGTCCGGTCCATCGTCCATCTCCATACGGCCATAGCGCCATACGCATTACGCGTGTAACCGTCACGAGTTGGCGCGCAAACCGTCGCGTTCTCTATTGTTGTGTTCATTGCTCGTTCGTTTGTTCGTTCGTTCGTTTTCGTTTAACGTAAATGACAAGCATGCGTATACGTGTGTCCTGATTGTCCTGATCCCCTCGCACATTCATGTTAAGTGACCGTCGGTCATGTCGTTCTTAAACTTTTGAATATTTTACATTGGGTAATTTTTGTGATTGTTCGTGATCGGTTGTTTTTTCCTGAACGCCTGGCCGTGGTGAGACTTCACCGTCAGTTAAATCCCGTCACACCTCGTAMTAGTCGCATTGAAAAATAGTAAGTGTATCTTTGTAGTGTGTGTATTATTTTTGCCCGTTGACATTCAAAATTCAAATCTGTCCTCTGTCCAAAGATGTACCACGTCGTTGGTTGATGATTAACTATATTTACTTTTACTAAAATATTTATTTATTCAGTTATTTATGAACGCCCTAGGGAAATAGAGTATACTATGTACATAATCACCTTGTTAGTTGTGATTMTTTTCACACAGTTAAGACTGCCATATTGTGGGCTGTGGTTCAATATCAATTATATCGAAATAATCAAAATAACCAAGTTATTTATTTATTCATTCATATAACATGCTAGTATAAGGTATGATAATATAACATTAGATAATTTGATTGAGAACAGGCAAATCATAACTATTATTAATTATTTTTAAATAACAAATGATAATAGGCTTTTTATCTCACCTCATCATCAAGTGCTCATGCATTTTTGTCAGCAGACAGCCAGCAAAGTCCAGACTCAAAAATGTACCAAAAAATTATGATATGTGTGCTATAATATGGTTTGATATGATGAAAAATAATTACCTACCTATGTAGGTTAAAAAGTAACTTCTAGTTACTTAAAATTAAATAACAATATCCACTTGAATTAGAAGATATTGAATGTTCGTCAATGTGTGTACATACAGTATTTATATAGTGTTCATAAAAATTTGGTTTTGGTACCTACCTAAATGTGAATTTATTAAAAACTTAAGACTCACCAATAAATTCAAGGCAAACAGCATACTTATTTCATAATTTTATGAAACATAGTTGATAAATAGCATAGATTATAGTTATAAAAATAGCAAATAAAATGTAAAAACCCTAATATACCTCCATATTACAACCTAATAACCTTTGTAATTGTATTCCTTTTAATTAATTATAGCTTATTTTTCTATTCAATGTTCTACCAATTACAAACAAAATATGCTAATGCTAGAAGTCTTGAGTCCATGATAGATACCTATAATGGTTAGTGGGTATGATAGGTCAGTTACAAAGCATTTGTTAAATTTTACATTCAATTTGGTTTGGCATATCTGAATACCTAAGCACTAAAATTAATTGACATAGAAAGACATCTATAGGTTAAAGCTCTTAGTTTTAGTTGAATTACTGGGAGCGTTTAAATACAGGAATGCACYGCTCATGGTGCGCATGCGCAATATGGTATCGTCCGCATAACGTAGATATTAGATAATGTGTTGATTATCGATTATCAGTGATTTAAGCGGCAAACTTAAATTTTGAATTAATACGATATTATTGTTATTAAATTATATTTTGAAATATTTTAAATTTATACATTGTGATTATTGTTTTTATTAATATTACTATTGACTAAAACTATTCTATTATTATTGAAATATGTTGTACCTACCATTGACTAAATATAGCAAATTATATTTTGCAATATTTTAAATTTATACATTGTGATTATTGTTTTTATTAATATTACTATTGACTAAAACTATTCTATTATTATTAAAAATGTTATACCTACACAATAGAATAATAAATATTATTATTATTAGTTAGCTCTTATCAGTTATGAACGTTATGGAGACGATACCATATTGCACATGCGCACAATGAACGGTGTATTCCTGTATTTAAACGCTCCTAAATTACTGCAGTCTATTTTTGCTTCTTTTGGTACATAACCAATCACAATAGAATTAAGAATAGAATTTATGTACTTAGAAATCTCTGTCAATATTATTTTGGCCATGGTCTATCCATGATATTAATTGTATAAATACCTATAGGTAGGTTTATCAGGTTATATTGACTTAACTTTGTTTTCATCAAACCTTTATTGAATTTTAACCATAAATTTATTTGTTTTAGCTATGGACAGCCAAAAATCAATAAAAACCTATTATGGGTTTTTATTGGTAAAAAAAGTTGGTGGAGCGATTTGTGGACGCTTTCCAGTTACTAAAAAAGAGTGCACTTTAGGTCGTGATAGTAGCTGTGATATAAGGATTCTCTTAGAAAAAGTTTCAGCTCAACAATGTATCATACTATGTGTTGACAATAAAGTAATTGTGGACTTCTTTTTATAATTTTATGAGAAATTATTAATTTTAGTTTCAAACTTTCTAGGCATATATTCGTGACAAAAGYATTGCGGGTTCAACCAAAGTCAATGGAAAGAAGGTTGGCAGGAGTAATTTTTTATTGCATGATTCAGATGAAATTGAAATTTGTGGAAGAAAATTTGTTTGGGAATATCCTAAAAAGCCACATGGGTAAGTTTCCATTAAATATTTATCATGTGATCAAATTAAAATATATATTTATTGTTATAACATTCTTTTATCACAGAGAATTAAGTAATTTATCCAGCAAAAAGTCTGGGATAAGGAGTGATCATTTATCACCAAGAGCAACAGAACGTTTTCCAAATCAAGTCATCACCCCRCTGGTACTTAAAGTATTAAAAGTAATTGCTTATGAACAGGGCTAGTTACTTATAGCTCTAAAAAAAGTTGTTATAAGTCCAATGATATGCTCTTAACAACATTCATATAGGCGCTAAAAATATTAAAATAAGATAAAATAAATTACTATCTAAATAATTATTATTAATTTATTAATTTAGTTTTAAATTTAAAACTTTTCGTATTACAAGTCTTTAATTTTTGCAGTATACTTTACCACTCGTTACAAATATCATAAATGTGGAAAATCATACCTCTTCTTTGGTTATTCTATGAAAAAATTAAAACCTATAGTTTATTTAGCCTATTTAAATAAATATGACTTTTATATTTTTACCTTGAAAATTACAGTGTACGATGAGATGTTTACTCAAGTTTTCAAATTTGAATKACCTTTGATTATTGCTGAGTAAAGTCTTGTACTTTGATTATGATTGCTCGACATCTACTGATGCAATTGGTGCATATTTAAAGTAAACGAGATCATCCGTTAATAAGTCTTCAGGTAGTCCAGGTTCAAGTTCAGTGTTTCTTTGATGGCCTGATAACACTTGAAATATTTTTTTAAATTTTGAGGCCGATATTCTTGTTGACGACGTTGTTAAATTTAGTTAAAATAGCTTTTCCAATTGGCCCTTAAAGAGTTTGAAATGCTTTTTCTACTTTTTCAATCATATTTAGACTATTAGTTAGGGGTAGTTCTTTTTCTTGGAACTTGGTAATATAWACGGTCAATATTGAAAAATTTGATTTTATGTAAGTTTAGTCTCTTTCGATGCCATCTTTAGATATATATTTTTTGGCCTCCCCAATAGCATCATCTGCTTCTAGTTTTTCAATTATCTTACAAATAACTCCTAAATTTTCACAGTAATAATTTGAGGCATTGATTCACATACCCCAACGTGTAATTACTGGTTTAGGTGGTACATTAAAATTAGGTGCTTCGCTTTTATAAATTTGAACACAATCTGGAGCTTTTCGGAATGTTTTTTTGAAACTAGAAATTACTTTGTCAATAGTACTGAATTTCCCTCTTACTTCCTCTGCTACTCTATGAAGACCATGAGCAATGCACGTAATATGGACCATTTTAAAATATAATGCTTTTAAGGAATAAGCAATTTTAACCATGTAGGGAGCAGCATCAGATGTAAATAATAAAACATTGTTGTGTTTAACGCCAATAAGTCCTTAGACTTGTCAAAAAAGTTACTAATTGTCGAATAATTTGTTTTTTCTAAAAGCTCTGAAACTAATTAAATATTGTTTACCTAGACAATCTACCTTGAGTGTACCAACAATCACATTAGCAACAAATCTTCCTTCAATATCAGTTGTTTCGGCAATACTAACCCATATCTTTTTACCTGACAACTCAAATTTAATTTTACCCATAGTTTCTTCAAAAATTTCATTAATTTATTCAAGTCTTAATGTTGCTTTTGTTGGGACATATTTTCTAGTATACATTTTCAAAAAATTACGGATTATTCAAGGGTGTATGTTGGTTGACATTAATATGAAACACAAGTCTTAATTAAATGAAGATTTTTTTATTGTGTTGTTGACTGTTGTTTTTATTTATCACATCCAATTTCTGCAAGAAAAAATTTTGTATTTGACTTCCTGATTATCTGAAACATATTTGTAACTTATTAAGTGTAGGACTTTTTAAAACAAATATGCAAATGCTACAAGTCACGAGAGCCCTGCTTATGAAATCCGAAATAACGTTTTTTTTATGAAATAGTTTATTATTATAATATTTAACTTAATTATTTAATATCCAATTTATTTAAACCTATATTTTTCTTCATATTAACTATTAATTTATGTAAATTACATATTATTAAGGATAACAACAAAAATTTTCCAACTTCGGCCTCTAGCAACATGAAAACTCCCTCAAAAACAATAATAAGCTTTAATAAAACACCAATGTAAGTATTAAAATGAATTTATAAGCTACTAAAACTGAGTTAAAATTTACTTATTTATGTTMTATAGTATTGTCACCACAGAAAATATGTCTAAATCTTCATTTGATGAAGTGCAAAACAGCTTTCAGAATCAAAAATCAAGTTTGTTCCTTTTTGTACTTTATAATTATAAGTAGGTACTCATAGTTAAAGTTAAGATAATGTCGGTGTTTTGCAAAAAAGGTTTAATCCACAAAAAATCAAAAGACTGGTATCAACGTTTTCAGAAAAAAGTGGCAAATTTTTTGGTGATAACAGTGTTTACTTGTACTAAACTGCATGTTAGCTGTAGCGAAATAAATTAAAATGTATACTAACACCCTAAACAATAACAACAACAATTAGTCTAAGGGCCGTTCTTACAATGTCCGGTTAAAGTTAACAAACACTTAACCCCCAGAATACTGCCTGTAAAAATCCCACTAACCATCGGTGAACCATAACCGACCCTTAACCGGACATTGTAAGAATGGTCCTAAAAATGCAAGAATAGCATTTTACATTTAAATAACACAGGCTTTTAATTCAAAAACTCAATCATCTACTATTTTCTATTATCTATTTACTATATACGTGTAGTACATAGGTGTAGTATACACCACTTATAAAATCTAACTAATCATCAAATAGTGAACAACCATTAATATATCTCAATTTTAGATTCTGAATAGAGTAATGAATGTATTGATTTTACAATGTGTGTATGTGTGTGTTTTTTTTTGTGTGTCTGTGTACAGCATAACTAGTCTAAATAATGCTTCAATTTCAAACTTTGGGGGTTGTTTCCGATGGAAAAGTGAATATCCTTGGTGCATTAAAGAGGTCAAAAGTAAACATTTTCAACAGTTTTCAAAAAAATCGATTTTTTATATGGTTGTAATTCAAAAACTAATCACAGTAAATACTTGAAATTTTCACCAAATGTTTATGTTAGTGTTATCTATATACAGTTAATTTTCAAAAATTGTTGACTTTTTTGAGCTATTTATAGACCACTGAAATTTTCGATTTGTATGAGAATTTTTTTTTTTGAAGAGTCGGTAAAAAATTTTGGATGACCAAAAAAACTTGAACATTTAATACAAGGTTCCTTATGAGTTGTTCTTATTATAGCTAAAAAAAAATTAAAAATCGTTAGTCACAATTTTTTTTATAAGCGTTTATAGTTCAAATTTTTACGAAATCTGTCGAAAACACCAAAATTTTGAAGTTGAAAAATTAAAAAATGTTGTGTTTATAACTAAGGTTTAAAAAAAAAACACAAGTTTTCGTTCAAGTAGCTTTAGAGAAAACTCTAAGCATCATTTAGGAAAAATTTTAAGTGCGTTTGAATTTTAAATTTTTACGAAATAGCGTAACGATAACGATTTATCCTCAAACAATTTTAAATATTTGTTAATTTGTTATTATTCAAAAAGTATAAGTCTTAGATACTTGAAAATTTTACCAGTTATTTAGATTGGTATTTTCTTTACATGATTTAATTTTCAAAATATTTTGACTTTTTTTGAGATATTAATAGACAACTGAAATTTTCAATTTTTTTGAAGTGTCGATAAAATTTTTTTTGGCCCAATCAAAATACTTTAAAATGTAATACATAGTTCCTCATAAGTTATTCTTAAAGTGATAAAAAAAATCATAAGAATATATAGGCATAATTTTTTTATATTAGCATTTTAAGTTCAAATATTGACAAAAATTCGTCAAAACCATGAACATTTGCAAATTATTTTGTAGTTCAAAATTCATAAAATTGTTTGTATTTATATCTAAGGTTAAAAAATTCAACACTAAGTTTTACATAAATAGCTATAGAGAAAATTTGAAGCGTTAATGAAAAAATGTTTTGAGCGTTTGATTTTAAAAATTTTATGAAATCGTGTAACGATAACGATTTATCCTCTAACCAGGTATTTGTATATCTATGATAATATAAGTATTATGAATTATGATAACTACATGCAATTGTTTTTGGAAAAATTGATCAACCACGCCTTATGCAAAATGTGTTCAAATTGAAAAATAAAATATTTGTTTCAAAATAGAATATATGACAATATTGAAATATAATATATCCTAGACTGACAAATCATCTCCGTTCAGAATTGTTTTTCATATACAATGATACCTATCATTGCATTCAAATTTAACCTACCCTAGTCAGAGGTCCACCCCACTCCCTAATGTACAGCAGAGCGGTGCCCACTTTTTTTTATTGGTTACAATTTGAATGACAATATTTTGTCAGGTTGCCATCTTTATAAAATTAAAAATTAATTTTACTAAAATTAGATATTAGGATTTAGTTATTAGTTATAACACAAAGAACTATAACTGTTATTTAGTTCGTAATTTTTTTAAACATATATTTACTATTAATATAATTTAGTATTAAAATTAGTAAACATGTCAAACTCAAGAAGTAAGATGTTATTGGATTTTGAGTTGATAAAAAGGTGTAATGACGGTTCTTCAAGTATGTGTGAAAGACTTGTAACAGTGGCGAAAATAGTAGGTTTGCAAATTAACAAAGAGAAAACAGAACATATGGAAATAAGTAGACCGGTACGGAAAACAAGCATAAGAGTTTYTCAAGGTAGGGCCTTATAGATTCAAAAATGTACCACAATTTAAGTATTTGGGTACAATGATCACCCAATCAAACAATATGGAGTATGAAATACTTAAAAGGATCCAAATGGGTAACAAGTGTTATTATGCAATAGATAACTTACTTAAGTCAAGAATTCTCTCAAAGACTTAAAGTTCAGCTATACACCACACTAATAAGATCTATAGTACTATACGGAGCACAATGTTGGACTGTAAGGAAAAGTGAAGAGTCAAAACAGAGTTTTTGAAAAAAAAATATTAAGAAGGATATATGGACCATGTCGTGACCTGCAAACAGGTGAATGGCGTAAAAGACACAATGCGGAGTTACATCACCTATATAACAGACCAGATATAGTTAAGGAGATAAAAAGAAKAAGATTGGAATGGGCAGGTCATGTATGGAGGAAACCTGATGCTTTGACAAAGACGGTCTTACAAGAGAATCCAAGAGGGAAAAGACCACTAGGAAGACCCCGAATGCGATGGGAGGATTGTGTCAGGAAGGATGTGGCAGTTTTTCTGCTGGAGGAAGATTAGCATATGCTGGCACAAAATCGTGAACCAAAATTTAATTTAAACATTTTATACATATTTTTTGTTGGTCCTAATTTGTGTGAATTATGGCCTTTTTACAAAACATCAACAAATTGTGATACATTTTACATGCATTGTTTTTTTACCCATAACATTGCATATTATGTTTTGCATAATTATTATAGTTTTGTTGTTTAAAATATTAGAATACATTATTGCCATTTATATATATATATCCTTGGATAAAGAATTGAGAAGTTTCTGATATTTTGTACGACAATAAGATGTCATTAAGATTAAGGAATAGATTTTATAAGTTTTGAGACCAGTTTTATGGATTGTATGATAAAATAACATAAGAATTTTGGGCTTTAGTCTGAAACAGAAAGAAAAGAGTGTAACTAAATTGAAAATGCCAAGAATGGTATAAATAATGRCATGGAAAGATTAGTAAGAACTAAGAAATCATTAGTTCCTTATGAGTAGTCCAAGAATGACATCTATTTTAGACAGATAGTTTAATCATATTGTTATGAGAGGAAGTAACTAATAAGCAGTGAAATTGACTATGAAAATAAATAATACAGAAGAGATGGGTGTACAGTAAAGAAAGACATGAAAATGGCAGTTGTGAATAAAGGAGAGGTAGAATACCATGCTCTATGGAGTTGTAGAACATAATAGGCCTAACATATAATGGGAGCAAAGAAAACATTGTTAATTACAGTATGTGCTATCAATACAAACAATTCTATGTATATAAATGTGTTGTATTGTTTAAATGAGATTGCAGATAGTGTTTAAGATTGATAATACTTATATTTTTTTGTAAKGGCCAGTTGTACCGTCTCTGATTTAAGTTAACCGGAGTTTAAGCGGCCGAATTTGCACGGTTAAACATCTGACGGTACAATTGGCCCTTACAAATCTATAAATATTAGGTATGATGTTAATAAAATTTAATTTAAATTGTAAAAATTACATAGAAAAAAAAATGATAAATTAATGGTGTATGGTATATATRTGTATAAAAAAAAATTATATAACACTAGTCTTAGAGTGTTTCCAATTATCATGGGTACAATGTATAATTTTCTACACAGTTTGTGTAAGATCGAAAGACTCACTTAAATATTTATTGATTTATTAGCTTTTAAAAACAACCCTGACTCACTTATAAAATGTTGATTTAACTGGATGCCTTACATTTTGTGATAGTATTACTATATTATATTTATATAATTAGTATTATAATTAATGTTATTATTATTATTATTTTTCAGCTTCAACTGCTTTTTCAGGATCTAAATTAATGAAATCATATTCAATGACTCCTGTTCGAAATATACCGGTAACAAAAAATATTACTTGATAAATTATTTCTATTTTTTAAAGTCATATTTCATGTAACTGAAAAACACTTAGTAAACATAATACTATCTAATATTTTTTTGATGGATATTACCCAATCATATTGATTAGAAAAATATTCATAATAGTTGACTAAACATATAACAAAACATGTTAATGTTGAGTAACTAATCAATTAATTTTTATTCATCATATTTTCCCTGCATTATTTTCAAATATCTGAATATTACTATAAATTAAATCAAGCATGCCTTGATGTATATCAACTAATTTCATCTTAGTCCATGGGCCATGGCACAAATTTAGAAACTTAGAATTTGTCGTCCGTTGAAAATGATAGTATAATAAATTTATTTAAAAGTATACACCTAAAAAGTTAATCTCAAGTATAGGATTCAATGTACATTAATTTAAAGAAAACCCCATGAAAGGATTTATGACAGAGTTGAAGATTCTCTAACAGTGGTATCAGGGACATAGCCAGGATTTAATTTCAGGGGGGTTAAATTAAAAAAAATAATAATAATAAGTAATTTTAACCATTCTTATCAATTAATTAAAAATAAAATTCATTATGGCCTACAGAATGCTATATTATATTATACATATTGTAAAAAATATATATATATATATTGTATAAATAAAAAAAATGTAGGTATAAATATAACATAGATATGATAAAATTAAAATTAATAATAATAGTTTTGCCATTATAATCAACACGTCTTTTTGTGAAACTGATATTTCCCAATGAACAAGTTGAAAATGATCGTTCAACTTCAGTTGTAGATACCGAGAGGATTGCCAAAACTCATAATAAATAGTTTATATGTGTGTAAAAAGTCAAATCACACGAGTCTAAAATAGCCATAATATCTGTAGGGGTTTCTTCATTATTTTTCCACCTTTCACACCAAAGTAAATACTAACTTGCAATATTTTTTTCACTAATTTTATCTTCATAATAAATGGTAAGATTATTTAGTTTTTCAATGTTTTTTCTAAAGCAAATTTTGGTAACAATATTTCTATTGGCAATAAAATGGCATTATTCTGTTCAAACCTATTTTCGAGATGTAAAATTAAACCATCTAAACACGGTAAAAATAGATATTTTATAATACTCTTCTGGTGAATTACGTGTATAATTATCCCAATAATTTTGTTTATTTGTAATATGCGGAATTTTAATTTTAGTATCAGAATACATTTTAGATAATTTACTTGCCTCTTGAAAGATTTGTGTAAACGATTCATTTGGATTTTGTCTCAAATGTTTCAGCCTCTTTATAATATGTTAAGCATAATCAACAGCAGATGAAAGATCTCGTTTAGGACTTTATAATTCACGTATAATAAAAATGTATAATTAATTATTATGTTTGCAAAAAAGATCGTTCCTCTCAGATTCTAAAAAAAATTTTGTCGATGACATTTCAGGAGAGTCTGGACTTCATGGACCCTCCCCCCTCCTCTGGCTACATCACTGAGTGGTACCAATTGATTAAACTACAAAATCCTTATTTTATTATTAATAATAGCTAATTTTGTTTGCTTTGTGATATATTTTATTTTTAATATAAAAATAATTATTTTTATTAGTATAGAATTGTGTCACTGTATAGCAACAGCACTTAATGTCTAGAAGTAAACAATTATGGACATCTTATCACAATTAATTACTTAACCAGATATCTTTAATCACTTCTCTGATTCATATATACTGCCTAAAGAAACATTTTATGAATAAGAACTTATTAATATCTTGATTGCTTTTAATTTAGACAGTACTGTTTAATTTAAACTAAATGTATTAAATATGATTGCATTTTAATGTATAAAGAAAATTTTGATTATATATATATTGTATTTACAGTATTATTCTATTTAGTAACATTCTAATTACATGTAAAACTTTGTTTTAGCTTCTTGGAGACTATAAAACCACTCAAAGAAAATCATGGATTGTTACTAATACATCTGATAATTCATCAATTGGAGCTCATAACAGATTATCTACTGAAAGATTAAAGAGAGATTCTACTCCTGACTTAAATTCTAGTTATCATTACGAAGATGAGGACGTAGAATTTGATTCTCCTGATCCACCAGGTATTGCATTGAATAATGAAGATTCTATTGAAAAAAATACTACTGATTTAGCTGATAACAATTCTCCAGTTGATAACGAATTGGAGTTAAATGATAAAGATGATGATATTTTACAATCCAATAAATGTGATAAATTATCAGTTTCTGAACCAGGTACATCTAGAAGAGATACATACTCTATTGATAATAGACCCATGGTAATTGAAGAAAATAATAGACCTATAGTAATTGAAGAAAATACTACACCTACTCCAAGACGTTCTATTTTGAAGTGTTCCAAAACAACTAAACCTAATCGATCGAGGTCAAGTTGTCGAATGGTTCAGTTTGCTCGTTTACCAAAAACAGATAGTAAGATTAAAAATACAAAGACTCGATTAAATCCAGGATTTAATTTTATTGTTACTGATGATGAAAATAATGTGATGGATTCAAATCAAAGTACTACAAATTCAGCACAGTTTGATGTTCAAGAATATGATGATGATTTAGATGGTGTGCAGCCGTTAGATATTAGTGTTTCATCTCTAATTAATTCACCAATTTTAGATAATAGTATAAATAAATCGTCAAAACGAGGTTCAAGAGGTAACAAAGTAATGAGTCTTGTAAATTCTATTGAAAAGCGCTCCAATGAATCTTCCAAACATAGTATTCGAGCATCTGATTTGTTAAGTATGAACGGAACAAAACACTTAGAAACATCACCAAATAATGATTCTCAAAATAATGAAAATATATTACAAGAATCAGTTTCTTCAGCAAGACGAGTAAATTTGGAAGATATTTTTGAAGCCGAAGATTCTCTTAAAACTACTTGTAATATTGAAAATGAAACTTCAGCTTATGAAAGTAAAGAAAGTCCAATACAAAGTGTTGAGATAGTTTCAAGTCCCAAAACAAATTCATTTAATATTACAGACACAGATAAAATACCAGATAATGTTTTTACTGAAGATGTATCAGATAATGAAAAAAATGATGTTGAATGCGAGTACTCTTTTGCTTCACCATTAATTCTTCCAAAAATCTACTCCAATTCTATTACAGTAAATAATAGTGATTCAGCCTTTGTTGATAATGAAAAGGATCATAATTCTACTGAAATAATTGATAATCAGTTTGATTCAAATTCAAAACTTGACATATCTTCACACAAAACAAAAGATTCTAAAACGTCTACGAATGAAATTTTAACAAAGTCTATTAATGTTGAAAGTCTTGCGATAAATCATGAATCAAGTACTACATCGACATATAATGACAAGATTGATGAAACGCAAAAAGATAAATCTAATCATCATGGAAAAATTGTAGATGAAGAAATTTGTTCAAATGATGTTGAAACAYTAATTAATATCAATAATTTATCTGACAAAATTAAACCGCTAAGGAAGGAACATAATTTAAAACAGAAAGATGATTCTGAATTTTTCAGTAATGATGTATGTATCAATGAGATCCAACCACCGCCAAAACAAAATCCTGGTTATGACCTTGCATCAAATGATAATGCACAACTAGTTCATAATTCTACAGATTTAAATGTAGATCAAATTGACAAACAAAATAATGTTTCAAAAGTCGTTGAACAAACGCTTAATGGTGAAACTCCATCAATATTAGTTCAAAGTATGTCTGAAATGTTCAATGCAAGTATTGATGAACACGAAACCACACTTTCACAACATAGGGAAAACCTGGTAGAAACTTATGTATTAATAGAAAAAGATGATCTACAAAATTCATTGGGGGTGAATGAAATTAATAAAGTTAATCTGGACAAATGTAATAAAACATTGAGTGAAAACAGTATTTTATCAAATAAGTCTGTGAACAAAAGCCTTATGGAAGCTATTGAAGTACAGCTTGACAAAATGCATAGTGAAAATGATCCAATTACTATTTGTACTGAAAATGAAAATATTCTTGTTGATTCAATGTTAGATTTAAATAAACAGAAAACATTAACATCAAATGTAGATCTTGAAGTAACAGATACTGAAAATATTACTTTAAAAATAAATGATAATCTATCAAATAATTCACTAAATACAATTACAGTTGTTGAATCCACAGAAATTATATCGAAACCAAAATCTCCAGCAAAAGATAATGTTAGTAACAATTGTTTAACAGATGTTGACCATATGAATGTTTCTGAATTGCCCCCCAGAACAGCAGTTGATGAAAACAATTCTGTGCCAAGTATAAATCTAAATAGCAATAACTCAAATAAAATTATACCCTCAGACAACGTTTCTGTGAAGAATATTTCTCCAAAACCAAATGCAAAGAAATTGATAAATTTGAATCAATTAAAAACTGCTCTTGGTGCAAACACTTCTAAAGAGTTAAAAAAATCTGTAAGATCATCAATGAATAAATCTATTGGACACAAGTTTCGTAAAATTGATTCAACTAAAAGAATTGCAGAATTATATTTATCATCATCTAGTGATGATAGTGAAAATGATACAACAAATTTAGATCATTCATTAAATACATCTATTGGTAAACCTCGGTATGAATCTACCCCTTGGACTAGTTCCAAAAGTTCAAAAACACCTTTTACTTCTACTGCAAGTCAACAGCCAAATGAAACTGCAAGAGATGATTCTGCTGAAGATGAAGATAGATCAAGAGATAATAGTCGTTCTCGATCAGTTACACCATTTGCTAGTCAAAAAGAATGGTCTCAAATGATGAAAGAATTCAATGAATCTGTTAAAAAAGCTTCTGTTAACAATAATGTAAATATAAACAATACAAGTATCCATAAAAAAAGGTTGTTTGTTAAAAAATTAAAATTGCCACAAGTATCCACACAAACACCAACAAAAGACTCAAATGCTAAAAACAATACATCAGAAATTAAAAATAATAATTCTACACTACTGAAGTCATCAAGTATGTCTAATAATACTTCACATGATTCAGGTCAGGTTAGAAGATCATTGAGAAATAAATCTGCTCATGCTAGATCTGTTAGAAGATCTAATAGATCTAAWAAATTGCAAACCAGTCACACTGACAATTATAGTTCATCTGAAACTAGCAAAAGTGAAGAAATATTGCCTAGAAAAAATAATTCCAATAATAAAAAAACTACTGATAAAACAAACAAATCAGCTATTCAAGCAAATACTAACTGTCCAATGAAAACTAAAATAAACATTCCTGTCTTAAATATTGATTCAGATAAAGATTTTGTTCCAAGTTCTGAAATTGAGAATTACTCTGCTACTTCAAGCTCATCAGAAGAAGACACATATCCATGTAGCCCAACTAAAAAACTAACTAAGATTAAGAAGAATAGTCTTAAGTCGCCATTACCATCAATAAGTGTAATTAAAAATAAGTCAAATAACGTTATAAAAGAACATGATAAAATACAAATTACAGTTACTAAAGATTCACAATCAAGTATTAATAATGAAATTTCTTCATCTTCAAGTTCTTCAGATGAAATACAAACATTTGAAAGAGAATTACGTAGAAGAAAACTTATTAATCCTTCTTGTACTAAAACAATGAAAAATGCATTAAATACTGATAAAATAAAAACAGAAAAATCAAAACGTAATACCTCATATAATTCAGATATATTGAAGTTAGATAAAAAAAATAAATCTGCAATTAAATTAAAATCTACCAAAACTTCAAAAACTGTTAAAACAAAGAAAACCACTAACTTGAGATCAAATTTGAATTTACGGGCAAAACGTCTCTTACCTTCTAAACCAATTAAAACGAGTACAAAAGATTCTTCAGAATATGAATCATTAAGTGAAACTGAAGAGAKTATTCAAAAACTACAATCAGTTTCTCATCCATCTAAATCAATTAAAGAAAAAACTCTAAGGAAAGATATAAATGTTGATAATAGTTTATTATCATTATCTACTAGACGTAGTCAAAGAGAAAAATTAAAAATGTCAGATGTTTCAATGCAATCAAGAACACAAAGTCGCAAACGTGCAGCTAATACGTCTTCTTTAACTCAAATCAGTAAAGACAAGAAAAAAAATGCGAATTCAGTTACTCTGGCTTCAAAGTCTCCTAAGAAACAGAGTTACATTCTAACTAGACAAAATTCAGCAATTTGTAATTTAGCCTCTGATTCTTTACCTGAAACTTCAAAGAAATCTGCTAGTTTAAAATCAAAAAAGAATTCTCAGCTTAATCGTAACATACCTTCTAAACCAATTGAAACAAAAAAAAAAGATTCTGTAGAACATGAATTGTCTTCTGAATCTGAAGAAAGTACTCAAAAATCTAAATCTACCAAAGAAAAAACTAAGAAAAAAGATGTTAATGTTGATAGTAATTTATCCTCATTATCAACTAAACGCAATCTAAGAGAAAAAGTCAAGACTTCAGATATTTCACTGCAGCCGCCAAAAACTCAAAGTCGCAAACGTGCTGCTGATACATCACCTATATCTCAGCCCAATGCTAAAGGGAAAAAATGTGATATTTCATCCAAAGTTGCAAATGCAGTTTCACGTGCTTCAAACTCTCCAAATATACGTACTCGAAACATGTCAAAATCATCTGTTAAACAAGTTTCTGATAGTTCTTTACCTGAAACAACAATAGTCAATAAAAAAGAAAGAAAAAAATCAACTGAAAAATTTAAACCAAAATCAAATGAAAATACTCGAACCAAAAAACGTCAACTGAATTCTGAAAATAGTTCGTTTGACTCTGGTCCATCTACCAGTAAAAAAATTAGACAAGTAACTTTCAGAGGAGCTGAATGTGAAAATAAAATGTCTGATTCATCTACTCGCACAACATCTAAAACTAAAATTCAAAATACAGATGATTCTATTGAGCCTAATGCTTCTCTCAAAGTGAAATACAACAAGTAAGTGATCAATGTCAATCGTATGTAAAAAAAAAAAATGTGAACTTAGTTTATGTTAAGTAGTATTCTACATAAAAATATGATGGAATTAAATTCAAAAATATAAGTAGTAAAAAATCCAATATTTAATATTACATAACAAATACTCAGGTACCTACTATTATTTTAAGTTAACACGTGCACAAATTACTATTTAACTTGTATTTTACACTGAACATATAATTATATTAAAATATGAATATAGTAAATTTATTCTGGGGGTGGAGGGGGTATGTTGAAATACCATACGATTTATATGAAAGTTAATTAACTAAAAATAAATAAAACATAATCTGCCCTAACCTATAATCTTGACGGTGTTCTAAAATTATGCCCTACCTAATTTGAGTTAAAAACTTCAACGCTGAATTCAGTGTTAACATAATATTTGGAACTTGAGAGCCTTTAAGTTTTGTTTTGATTTATAATATTGTTTGACCTATGCTACATAATGATATTTTTGGTTTATCGGCTCCTGTCTCATGGCTTTCTGTAACTTAAATATACAATATTCCAATCTGTGTTTGTATACCATATTTATGGTTCAATTTTTAATATACCTACTGATAATGTTACTGATGGGTCCCTATTTAATAAATTCACCTACAAACAGTAATTGTATAAACCTATTACTGGACTTTTATTTGAGGGTTTATGTTAATTATAATATACCTATAATGAAGTGAAACTTTACAGAGTATACAAAAAAATTTAACACTGAATTCTGTGCTAATAAATATAAATATCTCAATTGATATCTTAAGTATATAAATAATAATCAATTAATTTAAATTAAAAGTTTTAATTTTATATTTTTCTTGTACAAATCTAATATTTGACTTTGACGCGTTCATTTTTTTTCCCATACCTTTGTAAATAAGTCTAACTTCATCAGTGCGACCCTCACTTTTTCTTCTTCTTTAAAAATAATATGAATAATGGCAAAAAGTTTCAAGTCAATATTCCTTCTCTAATAATTGTTACTACCATAAACCACCCTCAATATTGGAGATTAAATGGATTTGCTGCAATAAACAATAACAGAAAAAAAACACTGTCAAACTAATTTCCAGTCCTTGCTTTATTCAAAATATAAAATCATAGATTAGATTGTATTTTTATAAATTTTTATTTTTTTATTTTAGAAATGCTGAAAAATTAAGTTTACCATTACAAAGAAAAACAAGGTAAAAAAATTGTGCATGTGTATTTTTTATATTTTTGAATTGATTTAACTCATAAGGAACTTTGTATGACATTTTCAAGAGTTTTGCAAGAAACAGACACTTATAACATTATCAATATTAATTGAAAAAAAAAATAGTAGAGTTGAATATATTCAAATTATTGATACTGTTTTGTTATCTTGGTATTAATAGCACTAATAACTTTATTTTTTTTATTTTTATTAAATTAAAGTGTTTCTGACATACAAGGTCATCTAACTTATTGATATAATAGAGAATTTTTAACATCATTAAGTTGTTAAGCGTAAATTAATTACAATATATATGCACTAATAACTAAGATACATTAGATTAATATCCAGATACCGTATAGATATATTACTCGGAAAATTATCTAGATATAGATACATCAACTTACAATATTAATGTAAAAAAATAAATAATCTWTAATGAGAAACATCGGCGGTTTGTTTATTCTTTATTTTTAACTATTTTACCAATTAAAAAAAAAAATAAAAAACCCTTTTAACAGCTACACTAGCCTCAAGATCTATAGGCTATATTTTATCTTAATAAGTGTACCTTAATTTTTACTTTTGTAAATTTAAAAATTTTCTTATAGAACATGGACAAATAATAATAATAATAATAATTGCTTATTATAAAGGTTGCTTTTGGTAACAAAAAATAAAATAGTTTCTATGATTGAATATAATTTTAGACCTGTATTTTATATGCCTGTGTTAAAAATCTATGGAAAATTTCTCCACGGATGAGATTAAGATGGGGTTAAACCACTGTAAGTATTGAAACTAAGGATGTAATGATAATTTTAACACATATTTTGATTCATTGAGTTGGTATTTTTAATGAGCAAAATTTGCACGAGATCAGCTAGTTTACACAATATACTATTATGCAATCATTGTCAATCAAAAATAATAAGTAAATAATCACAATTCATAATAATAATAAAAAGCATAGAAAATAATATTATTTAATATCTACAAATATTTTATTTTATAGTTTTTTTTTTTGTATTATAAACTAAAAAATTTCATCTATCACAGTGTTTCTCAACTAGTGGGTCGTGGTGATTACCTTGACACAAGGGGTTGTGTGGGTCAAAAATATTAAAACGCTGATTTAAATATATCAATGTTTACCTGTAACAAGTTTAAATTTCTGCACATTGTGTTTATACATTTATATTTGAAATGATATTTAGTTTGATTAATTATAGGATATTTTTACTGTCCACATTTGTATATAATATACATAAGTGATCAGAACACTAAAAACGTTAAGAAATGATGATCTAACAAATTTTTATTTAAATTAATATTTGCCTATAAAAGTTAAATTCTACCAAAATAAATTTTTGTTTAATTTGCCTATATTATACCAAGTATAGTTTTATTTCTTATATAATTATTGTTAAAAAAGTCTGCAACACGAGTTGAACATTTTTCAGAAACCGGTGATCAGTTTTCTTATGTAAGAAATGTCAGATACTATTTTTCAAATAGTTTAAGATACCTACCTCTAACTAATTTTAACCAGTTTAAATACATCTTTTACGTCTCATTTTCTCATTTTCGATTATGAATTATTAATAATATGATTAAATTACTATATAAAAAAAAAGTGCTATTCTGTCTTGTGATTCTATTCGAATAGGATCCATTTAGTAGAACTTGAATCAGGAATCTAAATTTTTAAGAAGTATTTTAGTTTGATTATCACTATCTAGAAGTTCAATATGTCGAAATAATAATCAATTAAAACCTTAATTTTTCAAAAGGTACGTTTTCACAGAAGTACTTAAATCATACAGTTCATTTTTAATATAAAATGTTTATGCATCAATCTTATAAATTTTAAGTATAGAATATATTTTAGCTGTCAAAAATATTATTTCTTAAATACATATACCTAGATAAATAACAAAACTAAGCTTTATTTGGAAATATATTAAATAATATACGGAACACGGCATAACACAGTGTAATGTGAACTCAGCTAATGAATTTAAAATATTAGTTTAAACAGTCCTGTTATAAATTTATTTTTTGTTTCAGGAATGCTGAAAAGTCAATTTCACCAGTTCAAAGGAAAACAAGGTAAAAAAATAAAATGTGTGATTATGATATTAATCATTTTTAATTACTGCTTTGAACTCCGCTTAAAAAATTTAATATATAAGTTTAAACAGTACTGTTATAAATTTGTTTTTGTGTTTCAGGAATGCTGAAAAGTCAATTTCACCGGTTCAAAGAAAAACAAGGTAAAAAATCAAAATATATTATAATAATACTATTATTAATTATTTTGAACTCCGCTTAAGAATTTAAAACATAAGTTTAAACAGTACTTATATAAAATTGTTTTTGTGTTTCAGGAATGCTGAAAAATCAATTTCACCAGTTCAAAGAAAAACAAGGTAAAAAATTAAAATATATGATAATAATATTAATCATTTTTAACTAATGTTTTAGTACCAGTTTCTTTATTTTTAACAAAAATTAGTTTTGTAAACAAATTTTAAATCATGCAGTTACGCCAAAAGTATAGGAAACATAATTATTTTAAGTGTTATAATTATTAATAAACTATATTCAATAATAACACTATTTAAAATAATTAGTATGTCCTAATATCCATATTTTGTGTAAAAAGTACCTTGAATTGATATTTGATTGTTGACTCACCTTGGCACACCACATTAAKATCGAAAGACTAGTCCTAACTAAATCCATTCCTCCATTGGCTATCTATGCCTAAATATTAAACTATGCATGTGTAAACCCCCTCTTAAATCAAAATAAACCTACTGTCCCCAACTATAAAGTAATACATCATTTAAAGTATTACCTTAGAAAAATAACAAATTCCTCGCCATATATATCCAATCATACCCTTTGTACTAATTTACATCTATAAACTGTTCACTAGAATTGATAATAATGTTAATACCTCATAAACTAATTATTAAAAACCAAACAAATAAAACATGTCATCACTGGGTGGCTTCTTTTAATAAGTGATTCACTGTCTTTTCAAAATAACTATATATATAACCTTAATTCCAAAAGCTTTCATTTTTAAGATAGATACTCATATAAATAAGTATATTCTAATATTGTTTTAATTAAAATTATTATTGTTTAATGATTTATCTGTAGAGTGAATGGATTCTTAAATTGATTATCTTATAATCACAATTTAAATTTCAAAAAGCCCTTTAATCCATTATAACAAATTAATAGGTAACACAAAATAATGATGTAGATTACCTATATTGATAGTACTGCATGCATTAAAAATATAAAAACTAGTACATTCTGTATTTGTTTTAAACTTCATTTAATCAATCCATAGTCTTAATAAAATATTATTATCAAAAACCCATGCATACAACAGCATAAAAACCATATGATACCTGTAGTTTATATCATAGTTTGGTAACTTGCACTCTATATCATAGGCGTGTCCCCGGGGGATGCAGGGTATGCACATGCACCCTCTGCGATTTCAAGTGGCACCATAAATTAAGAAAAATTGTTCAAAAAAGGGGGCTAGGGCCCATTAGCTCCTTGGGTACGCATAAGGTTTCACCCTCTGCGTCAAAGATCTAGACACGCCTATGCTCAAAAAACCGTTAGATATTCTTCTTTATCTATTATTTAGCTAGAAATTTGTATAAATTAACAATTAAAAAAACTATTAGCAGTAATCACTATAATTTACTGTTGTGTATGGCTAGTATATCTTGTCATCTAATAGGTTACTGTGGCGGATGTGTTAAATTTTGATTCAATGGTATATTGTTGTAGATATTTCTGAGCAGAGACAGTATATCATATTGATAACCAAGGTTACCCAGTAATTATTTTAATAATATATTATTAAAATTTTAACAAATATATAATATATAATATATAAAAAATAATATTTATATTAATATTTATATTATAATATAATTATTTTTTTTCTCAATTGTTTTAAAAATTACAAACTGAAAATAAAAACAACTATAATATTATGTTAGTAACTAAATGTTCACCTTTCGCTTAGCCATGCAATTCCTGTCTACCAGAAATCTCCCTCAAAATATATATTTTAGATTCTGAACTGAGAAACAGATAGATTGGTTGTATTACCATCAGAAGATTTTAAATGTTAAAAAATAAATAAATACTGGCTGCAATAAAATCTTCAGTGTCTAAAAAATGTATATAACGAAAATTCAAAAATACACTTCAAAGGTAAATAAGTAAGCTTGAAGCAAGCAATTTTCGCACTTATAAGATAGGCAATTACAGTATGACTGGCCTAGTGATTTCAAATATCTTATTCAAATCCTCATAACAGTCATAACTCATTGTATGATTTGAGTAGAAATGTTATACATTTTTTCTTAGAATTGAATTTTATACCTATTAAAATACCTTAGTTTTTAAACATTTATTAAGTACCTAAAACTTGATATCAATTCAATGTTTATGTGATAGTGTAATGATATTTTTATTTTTTTTTATACATTTGTTTATATTATAGAAAAGCAGCAAAACAAGCCGTTCCAAAGGAGAAAGAGACAGTTATTTCTCCTCGAGTACTAAGAGTCCGGGACAAAAAAAAGTGAAAAAATATCCATGAATATTTTTTATGTATATTGTTTATGTTAATTTTAATTTTTTGTTACTAATTGACGTTTTTCTTAAGTATAGTTTTTTTTTTAATATATTCACTGTAAAAGATACTAGAATTAGAAATATTGAATATTATTTTTTTTTTTTGATTATTACTATTAATATAATTAATGCTAAACTTGTTTAAGCAATTATTTTAATTACCTGTAAATTATTGTAGTTAAACCAATTGTGTCAATCATGGTTTATTATATTTCTTTAAATTTTGTATTATTCCGTTGATTCATAAAACGGTTGTTTATGTAATTAATTATATACTGTGTCAACAAAATGTTAAAATTTTGATTTATGGGTGATTTGGAAATTGTTTTCAAAATAAAAAAAGATGGTGGAGTAACAAAATTCTAAAATACCACTTTATCTTTAAATTGAATTGTATGTAGATTTTGACATATATTATTAAATAATTGTAATTATTATGTATAATTAAATCAAATATACAATGATTTAACTAAATATTAAAAGTATGTGATAGACTGTATAAGAGTAAATTACGTATAGAAATATGTGTGGTAAATGGCATACGACAAGAATACCATATTTTGTGTTTTATTAGTTTTTATTAATTCTTGTCGTTAAAAAGTTTTTGCTCTGTAAAATTAGTACAATGTTMMTTGTAAATTCTTGTTATATAAATTTTAAAAAAAAGCTGATTACAATAATTTTCTATGAGTGTCTGTAGTTAAAATATTGACAAAATTCCTCATACATTTTTTATATATTATATCCTGTATTAGAAAATGTTATACAAGATTCTTCTTAAGTTGTCCTACATTTAACAAAAATTAAAAGCTTACCATAAACTCAAATTATATTTTTATGAGCGTTTGAAAGTAGACAGGAAATTCACTTGTAAACATTAGACACATTATGCTAATACATGATTTTCTTGATATTTATCTTATCATTTTCTGTACATGATTCAACATCCAAAATATTTTTGATCGTTTTGAGATATTTATAGAAACTGAATTTTTTTGGTTTCATTTTATAAATGCCAATAACATTTTATTCATTTGGTCAAAAATAATCAGGATTTTTTATAAGCCTACTCATACCCATATTCACTTTAATAGAACATTTATATTTAAGTGATTTTTAGAATTTTCAACTTTAAAGGAAATGTTTTCGAATTAGTGGTATTTTTTGAATTATTTAAGGACAAGTCTAGTGTCCTGTGGTGATACAAATTTCTGTTTTTCAAAGGAGAAATCAAGATCCTTCCTGTTTTACTGCTAATTATTGAACGGATGATTTTATTAACAATTTATGTGTAACTAAGTGATTAATTTTTTATTACTTTACAAGTTATTAAAATGATAAAAGAGTAAAGATAAAAATCACTAAAAATAGTTTCACATGCTTAAATGATGGTAAAATTTAAAATTATTTATAATATTATGAATATCACTCGGGTTACATGAGTTTCAGTTGTTAAGTTTTTTAAATGTTACGAGAGGTTTCACAGATTCTGGTGAATTCAGGTGCAAATCTCTAGTTTATTCAAAAATACTAAGTGGCAGGCTACTAAAGTAAAAACATTTTATCAACGAGTTATGACTAATAACCTTCAGCAGAACCTACTGTCTATCTTTGATTTATTTATTTTTGTTCAATTTACAATAGTTTAATAAAATATATAGCCCTTAATAGACTCTATTCATATATTATTATTTATCATAGATAAACATCTACATGTGATAATTATAGTTACAATGATAACTAAGAGCCTGAAGACCCTAGCTAGTGACTAGTAAATTTGCCAGTGGGATGCGTATGAGAAGTATGATGATTTCTTTATTCAAAATAATGCATACATTTATAATTGTGGTGCTAATCACAATTTTTTTTTTTTTTTTCATAAACCTAGATTTCTTGTCACCATTCCAAGTTTACTATTGGAGACAAATTATGTTAGTTACTCTATTTGCATACAGTAGTGATGTTATGATATATCATTATACAAATAATAAATGAATACAAAATAATTGCAATAAAAGAATAGTTTTTTTTCAATGGCTACCAAATAATTGTCGATTGATTCTAGAAAATTAATTATAATAGTTCCTATATCTACAAAATGGTAACAATCTCATTAATAAATCATAATTTAATACTCACCAATTAAAAACATTGAATACATTCTATATTAAGGTGGCTCAATGTTTTACTTGTAGTATTTATACCTTTATAAATGTTAATATTCCTTCAAAATAATTCTATTATTTTCATTATAAAATGTCAAAGATACTAAAAATGTATGAAAACAGTCATTGTTTATAGACTTATTAGTCAATAGCCTTCTACAGTTTGAATAGTTTAACATTAAACTCTGATCATGTGACTTTCGGATTCAAATTATAGGTTGTATACCATTTTTCTAATAGCTTGATAGGCAACCATACTATATCTTAAGTCTTAACCCAAATTAAGCAATGAACTATTTAATAACTAATTTTTTTACTCAATAAAGTTAAACATAATATGGGCATGACTAATTTGGTTTATTGGATTCACAACAAATTTATCAAAAAATAATAATTAAGTAGTGACAATAAATCAAGAAGTACATTTAAAAACTGTTTGAATTTACTTTTACGGAAAAAGAATACAAAACAAAATAGTTGGATCAATAATATGAAAGGACTTCAAATAATACTTAAATAAACAAAAAATATATTTAATACAACCATACAATTGTATGAGTTATACCTGCTATTATATACTATTGTATAAATAAATATTATTTCATAATATTTACTTTGAGAAATAGAAAAGAAAAGAAAATAATGTAATTAGTTTTACTGAGAAAAACTATTAAATGAAATGATAAGGAGAAAAATATTTAATGAATTTTAAAATAAAAATGTTGTTTTGTTAAAAACTTGCCAATAGCAAAGACATTTTAGTGGATTGATAGGTGGGACGAGGAGTTAAAGTCAAAGATATTTAAAAATATTTCATTATTTCAGCTGTGTTAAATTTAAACTCTGGCCAGGGACTTGTTTTCCTGATTCTGCTTTTATTTTCAGTCACCTGAACAGTGGCAACAGTATCTTTTTGCACAACTGGGGGTTTGGAGACGTCCAAACATTGAGGGAACAAGGCAAAGAATTCTTTAAGTTTGTCCTCCTAAAATCAATAAAATGTAGTATTCAAAATTTGTTATACACTTATAAACATAATGTATACTAACCGAAATCGCATTGGGTTCAGCTAATTTAGTTGCAGGAGGAGGAAACTGTATAGGCGTACTTGGTTGGGGCACTACAATATGAGATTTTGGTGAACTGTATCTTTCCGGGAACATGGCGAAAAATTCTTGCGTCTGAGAAGTCTAAAATGTTTTTTATTTAACAAAATTATTTTTCTTTTTTGATTAGAATATACTTACAAGAAAACTTGTATTTTCTTTTTTTCTATCTGGAGTAAAAATGATTGCTGGATCAATTAATTCTAATGTATTGGGCGGCAATTTAGGATTCACAGGCACCGATTTAGGATTCTCGAGCAATGATTTAGAACTCTTTTGTGCCACTGACTTAGGATTTTCAGCCAAAGATTTAGAACTCTTCGGAGGCAATTTAGAATTCTTAGAAGGCTGTTTAGAATTTTTGGGTGACTTAACATTTGGCTTCTCTTTTATTCTTTTTTTAACCACCCAACTCTTCAACTGTCTGTATTACGAAAAATGAAATTATTTATTTTAATTTGAGTTAAAATTATTAAAATAAAAAAGTGCGTAATAAATCTAAATTAAATTATTACCTGATAAATGGTAAAACCATGTAAAAGGAATGTTTATTTAAACTCTTGGCAGCTATATGATCTCTACGGTTAGATGGCAATTTATCCAACGCAAACCACTCAATTGATCCAATTTCATTCCGGGTTTGAGGAGAAAACTTTGTTTTCATACTGACTCCAGGCACTATGTATAATCTATTGATCTGATCATTTAACACAGTTTCAATGTAATCATCCTTGTTTATCACACTGCCAATATCATAACCAATTTCTTCATAAACCTTTAAATGTTAAACTTGTTAAATAAAAGAAACAATATGACATTTTCTATAAATCATTATTTATACTTCTCTAACTGCACAGTTCAATGGATCCTCGTCTTGATTCACTTTGCCTTTTGGGAATCCCCACGATGTTTTGGTCCAATAACTTTGGACCAACAATACTTGAGTCATATCTTCATTTAGTAGAATAGCACCATATGTTGGTACTGATCTTTTATATTCACGCCATTCCTTAAGCACATCCAAAACCTGCGACTCACGACTTCTCAAAAATGGTATGTGCTGCAAGTAAAATTAAATTTATCAATTAAAAATTCAATTATCTTTAAGACCAGCCTATATAATATAATATTATTTTCATTTATGTTTATTAAAAAGTTAGAAATACATATTTTTACATTTATCAGTTTTATTATGCAACTAATTGGCATACTTCTAGATATTTTTTCTCTACTATTTAATTATAGAACTTATTGGTTTCAAAAATATTTAAAAAAAAAATAGTTAATTAATAATCAAATCAATTCTAACCAAAATAAAAACTTATTATTGTAGTTTTGCTACATTTATTTTTTACCTAGTGYTTTTCTGTATGTTATTCTTCTATAAACAAAATATATAATAAAAAGATATTATATATGTGACTTAATAATAGCTAATATTTAAAAAAACATAGAAATAACAATATAGTAACATTTCATTTTTGAAAACCAGCATAAACAAAATGTKAACATCACATTTTAGTTTACACTTTAGCATAGAAAAATATATCTTCAAATTCAATTACATTGATCAGCAAGATACTTTTTAGTAAATACTTATAAAGTTATAAATAATAAACTATTGAATCAGAGCTTCGCTCAGAGCACATTCATTGCAAAATATAAAATGTTATGCATTGTAACAATTCAAACAATTGAAATTGTTAATATTAATTTCAAAGAACAAACTATCATTTATAAGAATATCTAAGTCAAAAATATCAAACTGTAAGATAAATATTATACATTTATGAATTTTACACCATCATCATTATGTTTATCTTATTTCTGTGAAGATATCAAAGATAGGTATGTGTTCTGATCTAAAATTATAAATTTATGCTGCCATTAACTGATTAGAAATATGTTACAAAAATAGTGGGAATTTCGTAAGAAGTTAATGATATCTACTATTTTTGTAAAAGTTTTTCACATTTATTATCAACTTTTTAATAATTTAAGGCAAAGTTATCTTTTTGTTCGGTATTAAAATCATCAACATAAC